CCATTGTCATATCACCTCTGCTGAATCTAAACATTCCATGGCATTCTTCCCGGATTGCATCTCCAGCCTCTCTTCAGAAACCTGACACTCAATGATGCCACAATGTCCACCAGGGATATTTAGATAGAAGGGTGCTTGGTGGCACTGGCAGCCAAACTAAGGGTTCTCAGGCAACAGCAAATTTGAAATCAACCCTTTTAAACCATTTCCCTATTGTCCTAACACCTACATTGAATCTAATGTAAATTCCATGGCATACTAACCTGATTCCATGTCCAGCCTCTCCCTGGATCTTGACACTCAATGATGCCCCAACGTCTACCAGGGATGCTAAGATAGAAGGGTGCTTGGTGGCACTGGCAGCCAAAGTAAGTGTGTTTGGGCAACAGCAAAAGCAAATATATGACAGAAACAGCCTTTGGAGCAGCCTTTCTTCAAGAAGTCTTCTGGGAATCTGAACTAACAAGAATACCAACAAAATTTGGATTTGGCTCAGGACATCCAAATTCATAAAATTCGAGTTCACCTCTATTGACCATTTCCCCATTGTCATATCACCTCTACTGAATCTAAACATTCCATGGCATTCTTTCCGGATTGCATCTCCAGCCTCTTTTCAGGAACCTGACACTCAATGATGCCACAATGTCCACCAGGGATATTTAGATAGAAGGGTGCTTGGTGGCACTGGCAGCCAAACTAAGGGTTCTCAGGCAACAGCAAATTTGGAATCAACCCTTTTAACCATTTCCCTATTGTCCTAACCACCTACATTGAATCTAATGTAAATTCCATGGCATACTAACCTGATTCCATGTCCAGCCTCTCCCTGGATCTTGACACTCAATGATGCCCCAACGTCTACCAGGGATGCTAAGATAGAAGGGTGCTTGGTGGCACTGGCAGCCAAAGTAAGTGTGTTTGGGCAACAGCAAAAGCAGATATATGATAGAAACACCCTTTGGAGCAGCCTTTCTTCAAGAAGTCTTCTGGGAATTTGAACTGACAAAAATATCAACAAAATTTGGATTTGGCTCAGGACATCCAAATTCATGAAATTCGAGTTCACCTCTATTGACCATTTCCCCATTGTCATATCACCTCTACTGAATCTAAACATTCCATGGCATTCTTTCCGGATTGCATCTCCAGCTCTCTTCAGGAACCTGACACTCAATGATGCCACAATGTCCACCAGGGTTATTTAGATAGAAGGGTGCTTGGTGGCACTGACAGCCAAACTAAGGGTTCTCAGGCAACAGCAAATTTGGAATCAACCCTTTTAACCATTTCCCTATTGTCCTAACCACCTACACTGAATCTAATGTAAATTCCATGGCATACTAACCTGATTGCATCTTCAGCCTCTCCCTGGATCTTGACACTCAATGATGCCCCAACATCTACCAGGGATGCTAAGATAGAAGGGTGCTTGGTGGCACTGACAGCCAAAGTAAGGGTGCTTGGGCAACAGCAAAAGCAGATATACGACAGAAACAGCCTTTGGAGCAGCCTTTTTTTCAAGAAGTCTTCTGGGAATCTGAACTGCCAAGAATACCATCAAAATTTGGATTTGGCTCAGAACATCCAAATTCATGAGATTCGAGATCACTTCTATTGACCATTTCCTGTCATATCACCTACTCTGAATCTTAAAATCCCATGGCATTCTTACCTGATTGCATCTCCAGCCTCTCTCCAGCAACCTGACACTCAATGATGCCACAATATCAGCAGGGATACTAAGATAGGTGACACACAACCTCTTTGGTGACACACAACCGCTTTGGTGACACACAACCTCTTGCCAGAATCTTCTCTAGTGTTCACACATACTGTATGCTTTCTGCTATCTCCATCCAATCATATGAAAAGTTCATACTTTGAAGTAAAACTCGTAATACTGAATAATTGTGTCTGTCTCTCTTTTTTTTGATATCCTCTTATGTTCTCTCTATCTCTCTTGTAATTTCTCTCACACATTCTCAATCTTTGACATTTTGTCTTGTTCTCTCTCACAGATTCTCTTTATTTCACTCTCTTTTCTTTATCTCACTTTCTCTCGCAATATATATATATAATCTCTGCCCTTGTCTATCTTTCCTTTCTCTCGCTCTCTCTGTTGTGTATCGGGCTGTGTAGTTGCAGACCAGTCAGAATGCCCATGCTAAACCATGTCCACAGCCAAAAGCATCTACAATGGGTGCGTGAGCATCAGAGCTGGACCACGGGGCAATGGAAGAAGGTGGCTTGGTCTGATGAATGATGTTTTCCTTTGCAACATGTGGATGGCCGGGTGAGTGTGCGTCACTTGCATAAAAGTGGCCACCCGCCCAAGTCTATAACTGGCTTGTGAAGCAAGGACACATAAACAGGCATCACATAGTTTACCTGCAAAATGGGAATTAAGGCAACCTGCTGGGAAACCTTGGATCCCTGAAAAAAGGGGAGAGAACAATGTTCTTGGACAACTTGCCAGCCAGCTTGCTAACAACCGAATTAACCTGTCTAACAGTATGCGTTTATAACAGGGGTTTAGTTAGGTTAGACAGGTTAATTCGGTTGTTAGCAAGCTTTCTTATTTCTCTCTCTCTCTCTCTCTCTCTCTCTCTCTTTTCTCTCTCTCTCTCTCTCTCTCTCTCTCTCTCTCTCTCTTCTCTCTCTCTCTCTTCTTCTCTCTCCTCTCTCTCTCCCCCCCTCTCTCTTTCTCCTTTCTCTCTCCTCTCTATTTCTCTCTCCTCCCTCTCTGTCCCCCCCTCTCTCTCTCTTTCTTTCTTCTCTCTCTCTTTCTTTCTTTCTTTCTCTCTTCTCTCTCTTCTCTCTCTCTCTCTCTCTCTCTCTCTCTCTGCCCCCCCCCCCCTCTCTTTCTCTCTCTCTCTCTCTTCTCTCTTTTTCTCTCTTTCTCTCTCTCTCTTCTCTCTCTCTCTTTCTTTCTCTTTCTCTCTCTCTCTCTCTCTCTTGATACTTTGGCTCAGAGTTTCCTCTTAAATCTACAAAATAGCAACTGAGCAAATGACAAAATATATTAAATAACAATAATAAAAATGAAAGGTTTATGCTAAATTTAATGTGACCTCTGACTATAAAAACTGAATTTCACTCAATCTGTCATCATCTCAGCTCTAGCAAAAATAAGAGAATAAGTTTCCTGAACGAGCCGTGGAATTCTCCAATGATGCCGAGCCTGCGGCCAATCTCCGGGCTGTCTGATTTTCCTAATTTCTAGGAACTCCTTATACATAACAAAACTATCATGTAACCTTTCTGAAGTCTTGTTAGGGCCATTCCTATGGACGGCGGCTGTCAAATGCACTGCATACATGTGGAGTAGAGTACAGGACCATGTGGAGGAGTTGGATGATTTCTTGTTGTCTACAATGGGTTGTTTATCCAGCCAAAAACTTCTGAATTGAACCTTTCTGTACAGTGTGTGGGTCAGCAACCAGTAGATTGTGATCTACCGGTAGATCTCGGCCAGGTGTCTGGTAGATCATGGCCTGGGCTTGCTGACCCACCATCCCAGAGCATCAGAGTGCAATGCTGAGGGACTACTTGTGAAGTTGTAGTAGGAAGCAAGAGCCGCATAAGTTGATGTCTCCTTTGTAGCGCGGCTCCTACACCCTGTCATGGTCGGTGGGTGTAGCATCTGCCAAGCATAGGAGAATGTCACCAGCACACCGAGGATCACCAATATGGGTCCAAAAGGTTTAATAAATGATCACATAGTTACAGCAAGGCAACGTTGCAGAGTCTCACAGGCAGGGGCAGACTGACAACTCATGGGGTCCCCGGGCAATAGGTGATCATGAGGCCCCTTTGTCCTTGCCCAAACTCAAAAAAGCCTATGAAAAAGGTACCTACCAGGGGCATCTCATGGGGCCCCCTACTGACCCCGGGCCCTTGGGCAGTACCCGAGTTTCCAAATGGTCAGTCCGCCCCCCCTGTTCATAGGACCCCTTCATCAGGCATGGGGCATGTCCTGCGAGACTCCAAAACGTTGCCTTTCTGTAACTATGTAATCATTTATTAAAACTTTTGGACCCATATTGGTGATCCTCGGTGTGCTGGGGACATTCTCCCTTTGCTGATTTTGTTCGGTTCCAGCTGACGGTCGCTGCAGCACCCACTTATACACACAGCCATTTTTAACACAGGAACGTGTACACTTGCACCTGCCAAGCATGACCCATTCAAGTGAATGAGGCTTCTCTGCAAGTGCTCTGCAACCTTGTGCAGTACAGCAAACAAGGGGTTCAACAGGCAGCGGCGTGTTGCTTTCTCACCACCTGCTTTAACCCCTTGGACCTTGCAGAAGCATGCAATTTCGGGGGGCTTGCAGAGTGGCCCAATTTACTTCAATGGGTCTCGATTAACAGGCAGTAGCACCCACCAAAAGCAACAGGGGGTGTAATTCTGACTGCAACATGTGTACACCTTTGGTTGCGGCCTTAGCAGCTAAATGGTGTAGGGATTGGGGGTGGTAAAACTGTGACTCAACCACAGTGTTTTACCACCCCCCAACCTGTAACATGTAAATGAGCCCTAAGAGTGCCTCTAGTGGATGCAACTGAGGGCTCATTCACAAGTGCTGCTCCTCTACAAAGTGATCCAAGTGTGTTTGACAGGTGGTGAGGAGGCGATATGTTGCCTCCTCACCACCTGATTTAAACCCCTGATTGCCGTGCAATGAACACAATCGTGACATGGTAGTATGGCAATTAGATCAGGTATGAGGAGGTGACACTGGATGACACTGTGCCCGGTGATCTTTGTCTTCTGCCATGTAGTTCAGGTCAGGGGTGGACTGACCATTTAGGCACTCGGGCTCTGCCCGAGGGCCCGGGGTCAGTAGGGGGCCCCATGAGATGTCCCTGGAACCTTTCATAGGCTTTTTTGGGTGTGGTTTGAGTGTGGGCAAGTACACAGGGGCCCGATGAATTTCCTATTGCCCGGGGGCCCCATGAGTTGTCAGTGCGCCCCTGATTCAGGTAGATCTCCACCTCTTTAAGGTTGCCTCCCCCTGATCTACAGAATGCAGACACCATAAAGCGCCAGGGTATATGTTTCTGTATACCTCTGCATAGGGCCCCCAGAATCCCCCCTTCCCTGGGCATCTGGCTCCTTTCTGAATTTTAGAGCATTGCATTGTGGGATATGAGTGGGGCAAGCCGATTCTCTGACTTACAGGAAGTTGATATTTGACTTTTGTTGGGGGCCTCAGTGGTATTCTACAAGGAAATGGAAGTAAAGTTGGCTTCACACCCTTTGCCTTGTGGTAAGGCTTGTAGACAAGTGCAGTTAGCTACTTTGCCACTAGGTGTCTCTGTACCAGATTAGTGCCTGGTTACAGAGTGTTATCAGGTGTTAGGCCCCTTTTAGGTGGAGCCCTCCTGCAGTGATGTCATGGCTGAGTCATTGCTTAGTTGGTAGGACAGGGTGGCAGATGCCCTAGTGCAGTTGAGGCATGGAAGCGAAGCCCCATACACCAGTATAGATGTAACCAGGATGTGAAGGCCCTGTTCAGGGCAGGAGGTCGGGGAGGAGCAGTCCTGCACCCAGGAGAGCCGGCTCAAGACTTTCTGTCCTTTCTGAGGTGGGGGCTAGGGCAGGTTTCAAAAGGCCTTTTAGGCCAGGCCAAGAGTTCTCTGAGTGAGGCTATTCCCCTGAAGGGTCCCGGGAGAGGTGGAGGAGATAGCAGCAGAGACCTTATTTCAATGAGTCCAAATGACTCTGGATGAAATGAGAGACTGTTAGAGGGAGATGGCTTTTTAAAGTGCTGCATATGCTTTCACATGTGACTGCTGTGGACCATTGACTATAGTGGTCGACTATGTATTGCCGAGCGACTTCAGAATGTATGTTGATGTGATGTCATTTCCTGAATACCACCAGTAAGGTACACCAATCCTATTCTTGTGTGGACATTCCTTCCTTGGGATATAAAGGACAATGGCTGGGCATGTTGTATGGAGGAGTGGGGCACAATGTGGCAGAGGTTTCAACTTTAGCAGTGTTCTATAAGGACAGTAGTGGGGGGAGGGGGGAACTTGTGCTCTTGAAGCTAATTTTATCCAACCACAATTTTCCTTGCTACTAAATATTCCACGGATGAATTAGAGTGGAGACTGCGAGCCAGGCCTTCTCGTCCGACATCAGTACCTGAGCTCACAAATGTGCTTCTGGAAGAATGGTCCAACCTTCCCATAGACACCCTCCTAAACCTTGTGGACGGCCTTCCCAGAAGAGTTGAAGCTGTTATAGCTGCAAAAGGTGGCCCAACTCAATGTTGAACCCTACGGACTAAGACTGGGAGGCCATTAACGTTCATGTGCGTGGCCAACCAATACGTTTGGCAATATATACTAGGGTGGAAACAGGAATTCCTTGGCAGGTAGATAAAATGTGACTTAATGGAGGGTATCTACCGTACACGTGTTGTGCCATGAAGACGTAATAGAGTAAATTTTGAGGAAATGTCCCAAAGTTTACCAAAATTTTGTTGCAGCAAACACTAATTGCGTTCATCCCTCGTGATTATACCAAAAGCCGACAGGGACACCAATACTGGATGGGAAGGGATTAATCTCTTGGTGGCCCTTTAAGGGATTCTAAGGGACAGCAGTCACATGATCAAGAGCTCCCCCCACCCCGGCTCTTATAAAACAGTGGCCAGGAACTATAACTAAGAACTCACAGTGAGAGTGGTCTCAGCACAGAACAGTGGAGCCAGCCGATGGCTGGTGTTAGGGACCACTCCCCATAAGGAACCATATATTTATTCTGCCACCAGGAAGAGGTTAATTTTGCTTTCTCCTTTATCTCCAATGTATTTTGGCAAAATAGTAAATTTTGAGGAAATGCCGTAAGGTTTACCAAACTTTTGGTGAAGTGAAAACTCATTCGGCTCATCCCTGGCGATTACATCAGAAGCCATAGGACTATAGCTGGCAGGACAAACCAAATGTAAGAGATATGCACTGGGATGAAAACAAGAATCCCTCGGCAGGTAGATAAAATGTGACTAAATGGAGTGTATCTACCGTACACGTGTTGTGCCATAAAGAAGTGATAGAGTAAGTTTTGAGGAAATGTCCCAAATTTTACCAAAATTTTGATACAGCAAACACAAATTGCGTTCATCCCTGGTGATTATAGCAGAAGCCACAGGGACACCAGTACTGGATGGGAAGGGATTAACCTATTGGTAACCCTTTAAGGGATTCTAAGGGACAGCAGTCTCATGAACAAGACCCCCCCCCCCCCCCAGCTCTTATAAACAGTGGCCAGGAACTATAAGTAAGAACTCAGAGTGAGTGTGCTCTCAGCACAGAACAGTGGAGCCAGCCGATTGTTGGCATTAGGGACTGATCGCCATAAGGAACCATATATCTATTACGCCACCAGGAAGAGGTTCATTTTGCCTTCTCCTTTATCTCCAATGTATTTTGACAAAAAAAGTAAATTTTGAGGAAATGCCGTAAGGTTTACCAAAATTTTGGTGAAGGGAATACTCATTTTGCTCATCCCTGGCGATTACATCAGAAGCCATTGGGCTATAGCTGGCAGGACAAACCAGATGTAAGAGATATGCACTGGGATGGAAACAAGAATCCCTCGGCAGGTAGATAAAATGTAACTAAATGGAGTGTATCTACCATACACGTGTTGTGCCATGAAGAAGTGGTAGAGTAAGTTTTGAGGAAATGTCCCAAATTTTACCAAAATTTTGATACAGCAAACACTAATTGCGTTCATCCCTGGTGATTATACCAGAAGCCACAGGGACACCAGTACTGGATGGGAAGGGATCAATCTCTTGGTGGCCCTTTAGGGATTCTAAGGGACAGCAGTCATGAACAAGACCTCCCCCCCCCCCTAGCTCTTTTAAACAGTGGCCAGGAACTATAAGTAAGAACTCACAGTGAGTGTGCTCTCAGCACAGAACAGTGGAGCCAGCTGATGGTTGGCATTAGGACCGCGCTCGCCATAAGCCAGATGTAAGGAACCCCTCGGCATATAAAATCTAAATAGAGTGTACTACCACACAAGATGAATAGAGTAAGTTTTGAAGCATTTTTACCTTCTACCTTCATATCTCCAAGTATTGTATGGGAAGGGATTAATGTACTATTTAGCCTATGCAAAATAGTACATTTTGAGGAAATGCCGTAAAGTTTACCAAAATTTTGGTGAAGGGAAAACTCATTTTGCTCATCCCTGGCGATTACATCAGAAGCCATAGGGCTATAGCTGGCAGGACAAACCAGATGTAAGAGATGGAAACAAGAATCCCTGGCAGGTAGATAAAATGTGACTAATAGAGTAAGTTTTGAGGAAATGTCCCAAATTTTACCAAAATTTTGATGCAGCAAACACTACTTGCATTCATCCCTGGTGATTATACCAGAGGCCACAGGGACACCCAGTACTGGATGGGAAGGGATTAATCTCTTGGTGGCCCTTTAAGGGATTCTAAGGGACAGCAGTCACATGATCAAGAGCGCCCCCCACCCCCGACTCTTATAAACAGTGGCCAGGAACTATAACTAAGAACTCACAGTGAGAGTGCTCTCAGCACAGAACAGTGGAGCCAGCCGATGGCTGGTGTTAGGGACCACTCGCCATAAGGAACCATATATTTATTCTGCCACCAGGAAAAGGTTCATTTTGCCTTCTCCTTTATCTCCAATGTATTTTGGCAAAATAGTAAATTTTGAGGCAATGTCATAAAGTTTACCAAAATTTTGGCTCATCCCTGGCGATTACATCAGAAGCCATAAGAATCCCTCGGCAGGTAGATAAAATGTGACTAAATGGAGAGTATCTACCGTACATGTGTTGCGCCATGAAGAAGTAATAAAGTTCTGAGGAAATGTCCCAAATTTTACCAAAATTTTGATGCAGCAAACGCTAATTGTGTTCATCCCTGGTGATTATACCAGAAGCCATAGGTCTACAGCTGGCAGGACAAACCAGATGTAAGAGATACGCACTGGGATGGAAACAAGAATCCCTCGGCAGGTAGATAAAATCCAAAATTTCCACGTCGGGGCGGAGCGCACCTACCGTACGAGTGATTCAAACCACATGCCGGGTCCTCGTTGCGAGGGAAAATGTCTTTCTACAAACCTTCTTCTGTTTCTTAGCAAAACAACAATAAAACGGGCATTTGCTTTTCATCCACATCTGGCTGCTGCAGAAACTCTGACCCGTGGAATGCGGCGTTTTATCCCCGAACGGAGCAGACGCAGCTCCAGAGGTTCCCCTCGCTGTGTTTTTATTGAATATCTGTTCCCAGCGGGGATGAGATGTTTTACAAAGCGATTATTGAAAAAACACATCTACCTTATTGGAGGGACGAAAATAAAACGTGCGAGCAGACGTAGAATGGAGAGGTAAAAAAAAAAGGGGGGGGGAAATGGTCGCCATCTAGAAACAAAAGACTCGGGTCTAATCAATACTAAACTCCATACACGAAGACCGCTCTTTATTCATTAATACGCCAGTGTGAGTACCTAAGTGTGACCTCCGGTACCCCCTGTACAACAGTGCTACAGTGCAAGAGAAAGAAGGAGCCAGACAGGTCATGTCGTGCTGCAGACAAGAGCATGCTGATAGGAGGAGAGAGCAGAGTGGCAGAGAGATGAGCTCATCACTGTCCTGCTTCTCCTTTCACTGTCCAGTCACAGACTGGGGGCTCGTCCGGGACAACCTGAGGAAGTTGGTTCAATCATGCTGGCCATCAGACCGAGGACCTCTAGTGGCAAAAAAAAAAATGCTGCGGGGGACATCTCTAGATTGAAGGAGAACACAGCAGCACAAGATGGTTTTATTATTGATCACATGATAGGCTGATCAATTTTTATTAGACACGAGCAGAACTAAGTTTTTTTTTTTGTTTCGATTTATTTAAATAATTTTGTTTAGTTAAATTAGTTAAAATTCATTGAATTCCTTTTCAGAATTTGTTTGGTTTGGTTTTGTTTATTCATTTTCTAATTTGATTTGAATTTTCCGAATTCGGCCGAATTGAAGTCAGTTTGACCGAATCGATAAGTACTGAATTCGGGATCTAATTTATTCTATTCGAAA